TAAAGTTGGACCTAAGATACCAAATTCTAAAATAATAATAGTGATAACAGTGCTCACTGTGGGCTGGGCATTTTGCTAAGGATTTTACATACAATTTCTATTTGAATTCTTACCACAGCTCTTTGAAGTCAAGAAATTAAGTTTATTGTCTGGCCTATGAGGAAATTGAGGCACAGAGGTTAAGATACCATTCAAGGGTCACACAGCAAGTACATGGCAGTGATGGGACTTGAACCCAGTCAGAGTGACATCAGGCTGAGAGAGTCCTGCCAGCATTTACTGTGAATTCCACTGCCTCCTGGAAGGTCCATTCAGAGGATGGGATTAGTATGTTCTCTTGGTGAAACCCAGGACCTATGAGTTGGGATTTCATGTGGGGTGGGGGGATGGAAGAAGAGCCCAGGAATGGCCTTGAGGTGTTTTGTAAGCCGCATGCTCCCCTTAGAGACCAGCCCCCTTGGTGTGTCTACCATATGCTATGTAGCATCAAGGACGCAACGGCAGCTGTCACTTCCCGTTGAGGGCTGGTTTGTTCAGAAGGGAGTGCAGGGCCGGGAGAGGCACAGCCAGGCTAGATGCCTGAAGCTGCCCTTGGGGCTTTTAAAAAGTTGAGATAATGGTGTAAACACCCATTTTTGAAAGGAAAGAAACTCAGGCACCATGCCACCTGTCTCCTGTAACAGACATTGTCCTTTTGTAAATTCCCTCCAGCCCATGCCTGCAGGCAAATGTATTTATAACTGCAATCAGAGAATGTTTTTTATTATTTTCTGATTGAAAAATGCTTGTGTTTTTTTTCAATCGTGGAACAAATGCAAAAAAATGATAAAGGAGCCAATATTTATATCATCTGTTGCTGCTAGCCCTGCTGCTAATGCTTGCCAATGTCTGTTGAATGTTTATACTCTGTCTGGGTCCCTTCTCTTGGAATGAACCTGTGATGTGTAGGTGCTCTGATTATCCCCGTATTTTGGATAAGAGACAAAGAGAGGTAGAGTATCTTATCCCAGCTCACACAGCTAATTGGGGGCAACACAAGGAGGGATTCAAAGCTGGGTCTGTCCGCTCCGGAGTTTGGGGTATGTAGGATAAAATGGAGAGCACTCTGGTGACCCACAGAGGGGAAGTCTGTTCCGGCAACGGAACACGCCCGAGAACGCTGGGGGCTCCAGTACACGTGTCGCTGGAGGACGCTGGGTGAGTAGGCATTTCCTCCGAAACCCCACAGGCTGCTTTCCTGGGCAGACATCTGGAGCTTGGGGTGTGGCTGCCTGGCTGCCAGGCTGGGGCTCGGGGGATGGCGGTGGGAGGGCTTCTCACTGAGCGGGTGGAGGGATGACCCTCTGCGGCCCACGCTGGGAGCCCCGTGTCGACACACCGGGGCCCTTGATGGGCTTTGTGGTGGCCAAGGGCCTCCTGGGCACGTGGTTCTGGTTTTGAAGCAAAGAGAAGGTCAGGTCCTTGGAGCAAGGGGCCTGTGGTCCAGGAGGAAGGGAAGCGAGTTTTCCTGTCCTGACAGATAGGAAAGGGCCGGGGGTCTTTCTTTGTTTTTTTTTTTTGGGGGGGGGGTGGCGGTATACAGGAGCAGAGTGGGACGCTGCCTGAGATGATATTGGGCGATGGCTTCTTCTGGCCAAAATGTCGTACAGTCCTGAGAAAACCTCGGGCACATCCCAGTGGAGGGCCTTTCTGCAGAGCCCTGACAAGTTCCCCTCGTCACGGTGTGGGGAGAGGTACCTGTCTCTCAAAGGTCCACTAAGGTAGGGCCTGGAAGGTAGATGGGAGATGTGCGGGCCAGGGCAGGGGGCTGTGGTGAGGTGGCACCTGCAGCACCATCCGGAGAGGCCGCCGTGGTCCAGTTCCTGTCGGGGGTGCCCAGAGCAGCCAGACCATCTGAATTTTCTTTTTTTTTTTTTCAGGAGCAAAAACGTCATTTTCTGGTGAAATCTCATTTTGAAATGGCAGCAGCTAATTAAAAAGCCGCTAAGCCACACTATAGGCCACAAAACAAGCCAGAGCTCTGGGGTGAGGCCAGTTGGCTTTTAAAAAAAGTAGTAGGAGGGGTGAGAATGGTGCCCCAAGAGGCTGGAACGGAGGCAGGAGCAAGGTGGGGCAGGGCCTTCAAGGCCGCCGTGGGATTTTAGATGGTATTTCTGGAGGCACAGGGGAAGCAGGGAAAGGTTTGAGAAGATGTGCGTGAACCTATGCGGTGGATGCGACATAAAAAGATCGTCCCTATGTAGGACCTTTCTCCAGCCTCCCAGGAAGCTGGCATCTTCTCTCTGCTTAGTAACCTTCAGCTTCTTTCCTTGAAAGCATTCCCTTTGTTATTGGTCTGTGCCAGTTGTTGGTTTAATAACTGTCTATCGCATGTCTTTGGACAACCCCCCTTCCTTCTCTGGGCCTCAGTTTCCCTATCTGATGGTGTTCGGCTGGCTCATTTTTAAGGCTGCTGTCTAGCACCTGTACCCTAGAATTCTATGGCTGTTGCTGGGTGGCGTTTTGTGTATTATGTACGCTCACTGGAGATGGAGACAAGTGTGAAATTTGGGGAGAAGGGCTCCTTTCCATTTCTCTCGGGTCCTTAGACCAGGGGAAGGGACTTTGAGGACTCTCCTCACGGTGACACCCTTTTCATCGCACCGTCATTTTGTATTTTCTATGCTTCATCTCCCGCTTATTGGCGTGAGTCAAGGAAGAGAGGTGGGTGGCAGCTTTATGGACCCAGCTCAATACTTGCCAGTCACGTTTCTGGGTACTCCTCGCTCTCTCCTCCCAATTTTGAGACATGAAAATGGGCCTTTCTTTTCTAAGTGAGTGACGCGCATACATGGTAATGAACCAAACCCAAAGAGCCATGGTACCATCAGTGGCAGAACTCAGTTCAGCCCCTGCGAGGCTAGGGGGAGGGTGACACACCAGACGTCGACATGCTGTTCATTTCCTCAATTAATTTATTACTTGATCTTCTGACTTAGAGCTTGCACTGCAGTTAGTGAATAGAGACGTGGGTTTTTTTTGTTTGTTTGTTTTTTGCAGTACGCGGGCCTCTCACTGTTGTGGCCTCTCCCGTTGCGGAGCACAGGCTCCGGACACACAGCCTCAGTGGCCATGGCTCACGGGCCCAGCCACTCCGCAGCATGTGGGATCTTCCTGGACTGGGGCACGAACCCGTGTCCCCTGCATCGGCAGGCGGGCTCTCAACCACTGCGCCACCAGGGAAGCCCGAGACGTGGTTTTTTGATGAGGACCCGTGCCTAGCTCGTACCGTCTCTGTTGGATGACCTTTGACCTGTCTTTGATAAAGAAATGAGGGTTTTCTCTGAAGAGTTCTGTCCCGGGCTTTACACACTGGAAATACCCTATCTTGATGACTGAACTTCAAATTCCTTGACATCTATCCATCTATCCTTTCTTGCTTCCTTCTGAGCAGTGGCTGGTGTCAGCTCCTGGCTTCATCCTGGCCCCATGAGCAGCCTTTGGAGCTGCTGACACTTTTGTATGCTCAGACGTGAGATGTTTCCTCGGCACCTACAGTATGTTGGGTGTTGGGGAGACCGTGACAGCTATAACTTGGTCCCTCCCTCAGGGATCTCACACCATAGCGAGAGTCGGTACACTAACCATGTTTTCCTCTTCCCTTTGGACGTAAAGCTGTGTCTTCCTTAGTCATTTCAGGGATTGCAGTGAGTAGAACTGTAAGGCCAAGACTTGCAGACTGACTTGTTGGGGAAGGCTCCAACTGGCTCAGCGCTTGTTCTTTCTTCAGATCATCTAGATTGCATTAGCTCTGGTAGCAATCACAAGATCTTTTATTAGTTATTATTTGGGGAAATATGTCCTATACAAGTTCAAATAATGCTTAGAAACCCGATTTCTTTGGGTGACGCTTAAGAGCCGAGACTATATGGGTTCAAATCTAACCTGTCGCAGAGGCTGCTAATAGTGCTTACAAAGAGGCGGGACGCTTTGGCTAAGTGTCAGGACATGATGCATAGGCAGCCCACCTTGGAGAGTTAATGCTGCACCTGAGCAGATTAAAGGCTCTGAGAAATCCTGCAGTAAAGAAACCCACTTGACTCTGACTCCGCCTTCTCCAAATTCTTACTAGCTGGTAGAACTTGCTTCCCTTTGTCATAAACCCATTTAATATTCTTCAGAGTGAGTGTTCCACAAAACACCCTGGAAACACTTGTGGAAATGATTTGTTTCAGCCGAAAACTGCCACTGGCCGATGTAGGTGGTCAGCAAAAAAAATCTATTATTTGCAAATGCAGAGTTTTGTTTGGCCCAACTTGTTGGCCCCGAACTGGGGAACCAGTGCCCTGCTCCAGGGGAGGAGGGTTTACCCCTGAGCAAACCTCTCAGCGCCTGTTGTAATGAGTCACATGAGAGCCAGGCTCTCTGTTGACTGAAAGGTGAAGGGTGGGTGCCTGTGTTTCCACTCACTCCAAGGCCTCACGAGCCAGGACATTGTTTAAGCCTCTTAGGACAGAATATGTGAGCCACCTGTGTTCTCAGACAATGAAGAAGTCATGTCTGGGACAGCCAGGGATCTGTAATGGGGCCCCTGTGACAGTCTTGGCATATGCAGAGTGTTTTGGAAATAGTCTTTGGTTGAACAAAGCGTATTAGCAAGTAAAGCGTATAACAATACTTGGTTTTTTTTTTAAAAGAAAGAAAGATATGTAGACATTCAAATATAGAGAAAAAAGGTAGCGGTATTGGGACAATGGGCAACTTCTATTTTTTCCCTTATCTTGTATTGTCGCCCAGTTTTCTGTTGTCAAGGTGCCTTCTCTTTGCAAAAACAAATATGCATTTATAGAAACAAAAATACATATATGTACATATATGCATCCATAATGCAAACGCACAGGTGTACTTTACTGAAATCGTCTAACACGTAAGCCAAGATGTATGTAAGTTGGTGAGTTTTTGTCTTAAATTCTCAGTTGCTAGTAGTTCCTTCAAAGTCTGTCATTTTAAAATTTTTCCAGATGGGCAGCAGATTTGGGAGATGGAGGCCACGGTGGATAAAGACAAGAGCCAGCCTGTAAGCACGCGGACGCGACGACCGGATGCCCTGTCCTCCCCTCCCCCACCTCCCTCGTGCTCTCTTTCCCTCTTCTTTCCCCTTCCTTCATCAAAGTCCCAGTGCTTTGGACCTAAAAGGCACTCAGTGGGTATTGAATTGATGAATGAATTACACGTTTATTGAGCACCACGCCCTTTTGATTTGTAGCAGTGACATCTTCATATACCTTGATAGAGTAAGTGGTAAGTCTTTCTTCGCTGCAGCTGAAAAGTCAACTTCCCCTTAATTAGAATTTTGCCTGTAAATGTACGGAACCTGTCACGAGTCCTTTTACTTTTATTTATTTCTTTATTTTTATTGAAGTATAATTGATTTAAAATATTATGTGTGTTTCCATTGTACAACAAAGTGACTCGGTTGTGTATATGTATATATCAATATTCTTCTTTTAAAAATTCTTTTCCGTTATAGGTTATTACAAGATATTGAATATAGTTCCTTGGGCTATACAGTAATTCCTTGTTGTTTATCTGTTTTATACTGAATATGTGGTAGTGTGCATCTGTTAATCCCATACTCCCAATTTATCCCCCCCCCCCCCACGAGTCCTTCTAGATGGGCTGGTTCACTGTGCTTAGGACCTTGGATGGCAACTTAGATGTGGTTACAGTTAAATTATTGACAACTCCTTTCTTTCAGAACATGCTTTTCGTTGAGATCCCTGAGTATCGGAACAAGCACATTCGGACATCAGTGAAGGTGAACTTCTACGTCATTAACGGGAAAAGAAAACGAAGTCAGCCTCAGCACTTTACCTACCATCCAGGTAAGAAGTTCTCTCCGAAGGCCCCCTGTGTGCGGAGAGGCAGCATCGGCCTCTGGGTGAGGATGCACGTGATCTGCTGGGTGACCTAGGGCAGGTGACTCAACCTCTCTGAGCCTCAGTTTGCTCATCTGTCAAATGGCACCTTCCTTATAAGAGTTATATAAATCAAATGCGCATAAAGTGCTCAGGACGGTGCACATCAACAATATTAACTATTGTTATTAATATTTTCTTGCGAGGGCAGAATAATAATGGGGCACATGTAGACTTGTTCACCAGAAGGTGGCAAAGCTGATGACTCCTATCCCTGGTTTAGATTTGATCACAATAGGGGTAGAAGGTGAATATGCCCTAAAATGTGGAATCTTAGGGACCCCACATCAGGTGGTCACCTGGTGGCCAAATGGAGTTGCCGGGCGGATAACCAGGCCAGGAGGCCTCATTCTCACAAAGCACTACAGTCCTGAGAAGGACGACGAGAGCCATTTTGCATTCATTCATTTGTCCAGAAAATATCTGAGTGTCAGGCACTGTTTTAGCTTGGAGACGCAAGAGTGAACACAACAAAAATCCCTGCCCTCCTGGAGCCGATGTTCTAACAGGGGATGCAGATGAAAGATAATACTGATGGAAGGGGATTCAGATCATAAGTAATACTGATATTACTGATATGTTTGGTTGTGGTTAGGGCTGCAGAAAGAGGCTACAAACTTCCCAAGGCTGAGACAGGCCTGCCAGCAGCCTTTCCAGGAAGTCTGCAATCTGAGAATGTCAGCCAGGGTGTAACTTCCAACCTGTGACAGTTTCACATGGAGCCTCTGGGCTGCCGGCAGCACAAAAGTGAGGGCCTGGCTTGGGTGGGATGCGTGCGTCCACAGGTTTGTGTGGCACGATGAGTGTTCCATTGTCCCATGACTGGTGTACCATGCCATGGCAAAGGCCTAATGGGACCCAGAACTGGGGGAGAATCTCTGGGAGGGCTCTAGACCGCACTTCAACGATCCTTTGTAACATAGAGGTTTTCAATTACGTGTCACGTGCTGTCGCCCCTCCTGCGTGGCGATGAGGCCTCTCTGGGTCTGGGCATCAGCACTCACCTGCCTGAACTTGGCTCGAGTGAGAACTCGAGGCCCAGGTACCTGGAGACGGTCTTTGAGTGGCTTCCTGAGAAGTTGGAGTCAAAGCTGCGTTTTTGCTGTAGATGCTGAAACTCCTTTGCCCCCTCCAGGCCCCAGCATTTGGGAGCTCCCCCCACAATTTTATTATGGTCCTGTCACCAATTCATTTACTCCAGTGGAAAGAAAACTGATTCCTCAGTTCCTGGGCCTGGTGACGCTTCGGTAAAGGATGTCGGAGAAGTCGAATTCTGGTGACTGTCCTGGGTGGGGAGAGAGGAACGGTGACCTCACCAACACTCACAGCAGTAATAGTGATAGTAGCAACAACAGCAAGCATTGAGCACTTACTGTATGCAGTCACTGTGCATACATATCTCATTTAATCTTGCCCACAACCCCATGGGTAGGTATGATTGTTCCTGCCAGCTAACAGATGGGGAAACTGAGGCCCAAGCCAGCAGGCCTCATTCCCCCAAAGTACTACAAAACTAAGGAGGCCGACAGTCACCGTTTGGTCATTCCTTTGTCCAGAAAATATCTGAGTGCCGACTAAGTGCCAGGTACGGTTTTAGGTGCTGGGGATCCAGCACTGAAAAAAAAATCCTCCCTTTGAGGAGCTGACATTCTAGTGGGGGGTTTCGGATAATAAGTGAGCACGTAAAGTGCACAGATACTTCAGCTCGTGGTGAGTATGATGAAGGACAGCAAGCAGGGGAGGGGGCTGGAGCTGCCAGAGCAGGAGGAGGCGGCGGAGGCATAATTTTACATCAAGCATTCTTCCCCGAGCTCTCCGCCTGGGCAAAAAGGCTGCACAAGGGCTGACACAGACCCACCAGCCACTTTTCCACTGTCAGAAAGACCTATAGTTCAAGATCATCACCCAGGGTAAAATTTCTAACCTAAGACAATTGCACAGGGAGCCTCTTGCCCAAGGCTAATAAGTGACAGAGCCTAGATCTTTGATCCCACCCTTGTGGACTCCTAAGGCCGTGTTCCTAACCGCTGTCTTCTAATCCTCTGTGCACCCCTGTGGCACTAAGAATGGTGCACCCCGTGTGCTTTTCTCTTCTCTCAGTCCCAGCCATCAAGACGGAGCCCACTGATGAATACGACCCCACCTTGATCTGCAGCCCTGCCCACGGGGGCCTGGGGAGCCAGCCTTACTACCCACAGCACCCAATGGTGGCCGAGTCCCCCTCCTGCCTCGTGGCCACCATGGCTCCCTGCCAGCAATTCCGCTCAGGGCTCTCATCCCCCGACACCCGCTACCAGCAGCAGAACCCAGCGGCCGTCCTCTACCAGCGGAGCAAGAGCCTGAGCCCCAGCCTGCTGGGCTACCAGCAGCCGGCCCTCATGGCCGCCCCCCTGTCCCTCGCGGATGCCCACCGCTCCGTGCTAGTGCACGCTGGCTCCCAGGGCCAGAGCTCGGCCCTGCTCCACTCCAGTCCAGCCAACCAGCAGGCCTCACCGGTGATCCACTACTCACCCACCAACCAGCAGCTGCGCTGCGGAAGTCACCAGGAGTTCCAGCACATCGTGTACTGCGAGAACTTCGCGCCCGGCACCACCAGGCCCGGCCCACCCCCTGTCAGTCAAGGTCAGAGGCTGAGCCCGGGCTCCTACCCGACGGTCATTCAGCAGCAGAATGCCACAAGCCAAAGAGCCGCCAAAAACGGACCTCCGGTCAGTGACCAAAAGGAAGTATTACCCGCGGGCGTGACCATTAAACAGGAGCAGAACTTGGACCAGACCTACCTGGATGACGGTAAGATGCTTGTTTTTCTCACGGCCCGTGAGTTCGGTGCCCCGAAGCGTCTCCCCAGCAAGTTTACTGCACGGCCTGGGTATCTTCCTTCACCTGTTTGGGCCTCAGTGTCCCCCTCCTTAATCTGAGGGAGTTGAATAAGATAACCTTTAAGGCCTCACCCAACTCTGTGCGAGAATCACCTCCAAGCAGGAGTTCTGGGCTGGGTGGTAGGAGTTTTCGTTGCTCCCCTACAACCATTGCAACAGAAAGAGCAAAGGAGGGCACTTCCGGCCCTAGGGGTGTCCCCCGGGTCACGAACTGGGTCAGTTTAACTGCTTCCACTCTTTCCACTTGCCACATTTAGACCAAGGATAAGGAAACAGAAAGGAAGGAAAGCTAACCTTTTATTCCCGGAAAGAAAAAAAAAATCCCACTTTATAGCCCTCTTTTGTGTGTTTGGGGGAGGGGGATGGGGCCGGGGGAAGGAGAAATCTCGTTGAAAAGTGGCTCTCTCGGAAGGGAGCATGAATGGAGGCTTGCGGGCAGGCTGCGGGCATATCTCTGCCCTGTGCCAGTGGAACAGAGCCGCGCATTGATGGGAGGGAAGCAGCGGGCTTCCGTTGTGGTGAGCCCAGCTGATGGGGTGGCTGGACCAATGAAAACAGGCAGAGGCAGCTTCGTGTGTCTGTAGGCGCCTGAGTCTGTTGGCGGGGGCCCAGCTGGACGGTAGTCTTGTTGGAGTGGCCATGTGTGTGACATTGGTCTGTGATCGCAGGGAGGAAGGGCCAATTGTGTTGGCAGGACTCACCTGGGGTCAGCCAGGTGCGGGTGAGGCAGAGCAGCCTTCCCCTGGGGGCGCCAGAAGAAGGAAGACAGGTGGTTTGAATTTCTGAATGGGAGAAGGAAAGCCTATACCGCTGGCGGCCATCCACAGCTCCGGCCTCCCACTCTACCGGCAGTAGCATCTGATATACCCTGAAACCTCAATTATTTAGGAAAATGTCCTCTCAGGAACCCAGCCAAGAAGCAGGAAGTAAGGCAGAAAGCTTCAGAATAGTCACAGTAGTTATCACAAAGACCAGGTGCTGGTTATCAGACACTCCAGCGGCAGGAATCCTTTGGTGCTCACTCGGAGACCATTGACTTTTCCTTTATGCAAAGTTTTGACGATCCGGGTTATCTGGGGGTTCAGTGACTTCTTGTAGTTTCCATGTCCTCTCTCTAGTAAAACAGTCTTTCAAAAACTTCCCCCAAATGCATCCAGCAAAGATGCTTAGAGCCACTTAGTATAGGGTCAGACTGCCCTGCGTGCCTTACAGGGCTGACCTCAAGGTATTGCTGAGTTAATAATTGATCTGTCCTGAATAATCAAACACAGGTTGAGTTCGGGGCGCTGTGCTCCATTTTAAAAGAGAGACCAAGGTGTCATCCACTTTTGAACAATTTACACCCAAAATGGTGAAGATAAAGTTTTGGTGCTTACCTGAAAGGGGGTTATCATGTAGAAAGTTCAACTAATGCAGAATGCCTTACCCGAGTGAGAGGGTAAATGGAATGGGGCTGTAACTGGAACCTCTCTCCACGTGTGCGCTCAGGGGCTGGAGCAGGGCAGAGGTGCTTCATAAATAAATGATGGCAGAGCAGGGACTGGCACTCTCCCCCGTGGACTCTGTCCGGCGCTGGTTTAGTGTCTAGAGTGAGAAATGTGCCAGTCCCTCCCGCTCACCCTGTCCATCATCCCACATAGTAGACCAGTGGTGAGCATCTCGGGTGGAGAGTGGGAGTCCATCCCTGGTTCTCCGTGGTGCATCAGATTCCAAGTGGGCCTCACATGGTCATGAGTAACCTTTAAGTATCTGTGGTAGCCCCAGACAGAAGTTTGTGTTACGGAGAAAGCAGCGGAGAATGGAGACCCTTTGGGGCCTCCTAAGTGTCTTTCTGAACACAGGCAGGTTCAAGGTCGTGGTGAGGGCGATCTCCCAGAGGGTCAGTAACACGAGTCAGCTCTAAGGCTGTCTCTGAGAACCAAGATAGTGAAATTGCTTCTACTGGTGGAGCCTTTTCTTAAGTACATTCTCCATAAGCCCAGTTCCCTGGGATTTTAGGAGGTATTCTCTGAAATGCGGGTTCTGTGGCTGAGAAAGCAAAAAATACTTGATAAAACCAAGTTTTTAAAAACCTTGTTTACTATAGGACTTCTCAGAGCCTTTACTAAGCTAGTGGACATTATCCATCTCTGAAACGAGGGGGAGGTAGCACTTGCCAGAATTACTTGATCACCCTCACAACTCCAGGGGGCGCTGTTCACATTGTATTTGATTGTACCCTCTGTGAACGGGGGCCCTTGGAGTTATACAGCGTGGCAGGCCCGGGACCCGTCTCCCCTGATGTGCGGGAGAAATAACATGAAGGAATCTCAGAATTCAGAACAAGCACCGCCCCGTCCCACGTGCTGTATGCAGTCTTCTCAGTTTGGGGGCTTCACGTTCCTGGGCCCAGAGCATGACAGGGCAGGGGAATAATCTCCACTCATGTGGTCCCCAAAAGGCGGCAATGTGGCTGCTGGTTAGATGTTCCGTGCTTGACTGGAATTGTCCCCAAGGCTCTGCCCAGCCCAGGTCCCTCTGCTGGGGAGGTGCTCATGTGGCCTGATGGCCAGCAGTGAGCCCCGAACTGCACCACCGCTGTAGCCGCCAGGAAGAGGGGTGCAGCATTGTCTCCTAGCTGCTGGGGTTTCAGATCCGTCTCACAGACGCCGTCTGGCCTGTGCACTCACGAAACATTCTCAGACTCCACTGCTGGCTTTGTGAATGTGGGATGCAGACTTCTCAGCTCTTTGGCATTTCTGACAGGTAAACTGGAAATCCCTGGGTCATTTCTCTAGTCTGTTTGGAAGGCATCCTAGGTCGTTTTCCATCCCTTTCGTCAATTCCCCAAAGGAGGTCTCCCCACAAAATACAGCTCTGGCTGCCCAAGCTCCAGCGGGACGTGCTTCCCAGGTGGGGACTATTTCTCACCTGCCATTCATTTGCCTTTTGGGATTTTTGGCAAACTGGACTTTGCTTGGAAGCTTTGTGAGAGCTGGGCTTAAGTGCTTTGAGGGTCAAAGGGAGGTTCTGCAGCTGCAAAGAGAAGAGTCACCAGAGGATATGGGTCTGAATGCAAACACGTCATCTTAGAAGTGGACCACGCTGCTCACCTGTGATCCCGGGAAGCCCCAGTGTCTGGTTATCTTTCCCCGACCCTTTGCTAATGATCAGATCGATCCATTGTCTGGTCTGGGCATCCTACCTGGCTCCACCTCTCTTCCTCCCCAGCTGCATTCCTGCACACAGACGCTGCCATCTGTCTTGGCCCCCTTTTTTCCTGGAACTCCAAAATGCAGCTTCTGTGTTCTCCACTCCAAAGACTTGAGACGTTTTCCAAAAGTCTCTTTTTTTTTGCGGTACGGGGGCCTCTCACTGTTGTGGCCTCTCCCGTTGCGGAGCACAGGCTCTGGACGCGCAGGCTCAGCGGCCATGGCTCACAGGCCCAGCCGCTCCGCGGCATGTGGGATCTTCCCAGACCAGGGCACGAACCCGTGTCCCCTGCATTGGCAGGCAGACTCTCTTCCCTGTGCCACCAGGGAAGCCCCAAAAGTCTCTTTTTGAGCTAACAAAATAAGTGATATTTCAGGGCAAAATATACCCTCACTCCTCTCCTCGTGTTCCTCTGCCCGCCCCAACTCAGGCGCACTCTTGAGAAATGCATGCTTTGCACGCACACTCACTGTTTTTCTCTCTGTCCCCTTGTCTCCTCTGTAACCAGTTTCTTGTTCTCAAGCCCCGGGTCGTACCTGGCAGATACCCTCAGCTCCTAGCAGTAGCCCGATCCTGTGAACTGTGAGCCCTCCTCTCCATCCCTCCTCCACCAGCCTCCCTCCCTCTCACCCAAAGGCATCAACTGGTTGTCTTTTCTGTGCCAGGCACCCCTCTGGGACTAAGGGGGTACGCTGGTGAGCGAGTCAGAAGTCCTTGCTCTTGTGGGGTGTTTTTTTGGGGAAACGAGGCAGACGTTAGCATGTGAGGTAATAAACCAGCTTATTTCACGTGGTGATAAAAAGCCACGAGGGAGGGCTTCCCTGGTGGCGCAGTGGTTGAGAGTCCGCCTGCCGATGCAGGGGACACGGGTTCGTGCCCCAGCCCGGAAAGATCACACATGCCGCGGAGCAGCTGGGCCCGTGAGCCATGGCCGCTGAGCCTGCGCGTCCGGAGCCTGTGCTCCGCAACGGGAGAGGCCACAACCGTGAGAGGCCCGCGTACCGCAAAAAAAAAAAAAAGCCAGGAGGGAAAGCACACAAGGTCAGGAGCCGGAGTGTGGGCGGGTGGAGGTGCTGTTGGCCCTGAGACCGAGTGCACAGCGAGGCCGGCTCTGAGGGAGTGGGGCTTCGGGGAGCATCGGAGGGAAGGGTGTTTGGGGAGCGGCAGAGGCTGTGAGGTTAGAGGCTGGGCCAGTGTCGGTGGGTTTCTGGCAGCAGGGCAGCGCGATTCGATTTGCCTTCTGAAGAGCTCGCTGGCTGCATGTGGAAAATGGACACTAGGGAGGCAGAGGCGGAAAACAAAGGGCTCACCTCGCTTCAGGCACTCCCAGGCACTAGACTGTGAGCCCCGCGGCGGGAATGCTGGGGGCGGGGCAGGGGAGGCACAATTTAAAAGGTTGCCTTGTGCCTCTGTCCACTAGTGTGGTTATTGGAAACCTAACTGGAAGAGCCAAAATGTGATGAGTTCACAAGGAATTCTGATCCCCTCCCCTGCCTAGAACTGAAGGGCGGCTCCACTTTCTACCGCCCAGGGCGCCTGCGTGGAGCAGGTACCAGCGTTCGTGCAGTGCCGGGATGGGGCGGGGTGGGGGGCAGGCAGGCCAGAGAGGCACTGGGGAACTGGGACCCGGAGGGCACTCCTGCCGGGTGCCTCAGGTGACGCGTTCTCGGAAGAGCTGGGGGTTCTCAGGTCATCAGGCCATCTCACCATGGGCTCTGG